AGATACTCTTAAATTACCTAATACCTAATGGTACCCTAAAGACTGGAGTGCATAGTAAAATATTTGATGAGATGAGGAAAAGGTACATTTTTCTAGTGAATAAATGTGTGCTCCTTTGCCACACCTCTCATTATTTAGGATTTTAGAGAGTCCATTAGTGTGGCCATGTGGACAGCCATAGGAACACTCAGTCCTTACTGGAAAAGCTTTCTGAGTCTATTATATAACTGAGAAAAGAGGGAGTTGGGGGTGGAGGTCAATGTCTTCTTTACAGAAACAATTGAGAGAGGTATCTCTTGAAGCAGCTATCATGTTAAATAAAAATAATCATCCTGGAGAAGTTTTCTTTTTGTTTTTGTTTGTTTTTTTACATTTTCATACTTACATATATTGTACATTGGCTCTCTCCTGTTTCTTATCCATCCTCCTTCCCTTGAATATCCCTTATCCCCTGAGTCAATTCTAATTCTACTTTCATGTCGTATATACATGCATGCTTTTGTGTACCTTATAAAATTAAGAAAAAGCAAATGATATTTATCTTTCTGAGACTGGCTTAAGTTGTATCGATCTTCCTGCAAATAACATGACTGCCTTTTTTACAGCTGAAAAAAATTCCACTGTGTCTGTATACACATTTTCCCCTCTGTTGTTGAACATTTAAGTTGGTTTCATAATTTAGCCATTGTGAATGATGCGGCAATAAACATTTATGTGAAAGTAAAAAAAAAAAATCAGTTTTCCTCTTTTCTGTGAATTAAACGCACATGTGTACCTACAACTTCATGAGTTAGGTAATGTATGTATGTCCGAGAGGCCCTCTTAAACTGTCACATCATTCTCTGAACTTCAGGAAACACTGCTTCTATTGATGAAGAGTTTGCCTCTAGGCTGTTGTTTCAACATCTATGGATTTGGATCTTCCTATAAAACATTCTTTCCATAAGTTCCTTTGAAGGCTGGAGTGTGTACTCTGATACTTTAAAGAAGAACTGTTGAAATCAGTAGTACAGAGTTGACCTGGGTGCTGGGATGTCAGGGAGAATTTTTTCTGATGGTATAGCTTAGAGTGAGAATTTTGAACACCATCAAGCGACTGGCTCTGCTTGGTTCTCTAGGAAAAGTGTGCAGTACACTCAGCAAACAATGGAGGAGGCAGTGAAAAATAGTGAATCGTCTCTCTGCAGATCTAGGGGGAACTGAAATCCTGAGACCACTCCAGCACATTTACAAGACACCAGCCATTCCTGGCCACCCCCTTCAGGTAAGTCTTGGAGCAGAGCAAATGGAAGGGACAGAGGAAATGGAAACACTTTAAGGATCTTTACCCCTCAGCTTTAATTCAGAATTGAATAAATAAGGGGTGCAATTTACTTGCTATCATAGAAAAAAAAAGAGGTCATTCATTTTCTTCTTTTACTCTGTGTGGTGGGAAGTCACCCTTGTTTTATTGCCACAAAAGCCTCAGAGGAAGATAGTCTGGAAAGTTCTGAAAACCCCCAGGGATCCGAACAGGCTGTATCTCTGTGGTGCAAGTGACAGTGGCAGCCTGGGATCCTGCTACTGTGTGAATAGGTTCAGAGAGTGTAGAAACAGTTGGATTCCACAAAGCTGAATGCTGGTGTATTGAAGGGTTGGCAGTAGTTTGATGAATGTTTTCTTTCCTTCACAGCTTTTTGTCTTCACAGATGGAGATGTTAATGACACATTTAGTGTAATTAAAGAAGTTAAGTTGAACAGCAAGAAACACAGGTATGAGAGTGTGATGTCTCCTGAGCTGAATGAACTCCTTCCCTGCCAGATATAACTAGTTCCACATGATACCTGGGATGACCATGCTTCCAAAGATCAGAATGACTTGAGGATTTTGGTTTTACTAAACTGCAATTTATTTCTCTCTAAAAATTTGATATTTTTCCACAAAGGATCAACAATACTGGAAATTCATTGAGCATTACATTTCTAAAGCCCTGAAAAAAATACGCATTGAATTATAACGTCTTCATGATAAATATATTTGAAAATTTTAAACAGAAAATTACACAAATTAGTAATACCCAAGGCTGATGGGCTATCATAATAGCCTGTGAAAGAAATTACCACCTAGGTCTAAAACTAGGTTATAAGACTTCTCCTGCTTTATATTTCCACCACCCATATTTTATTTTTTTGTGAGAAAATATACATTTATTTAGCATTCTAGTTATCAGCCGATTTGGTTCATCTTTCTGGCATAATGAGTTTCAGTTCCCATTAGACTGCCCAATAGAAATGACAGTCTGGGTAGGCATCCTTGTTCTGATAAGTGCCCTGTAATCACTGAGTAGTTGCATCACTACTTTCCAATTCAGTACTATTTTGTGAAGATGTGGAAAGGCCTTTGCTGCTCAGCATGGCACTATTGATTCCTGGGAACATCAAACTTTAGAGGAATAGAGGCATCCTTCACAAGTCTTATTCCCAGCAAACTCATTGTACAAACAGATCCTTGGAGTCAGTAAATGTTACTAAAGTGCTGACAAATTTTTAAGATACTACTTATACCCAAAATACATTATATAGTATTTCTTAGGAATAAGCATTGATCCAGCTAGAAACTGGAGCTGTGTGAACAAGAATGTTTACTCTGAATCATGTTGAATTTTTGTAAGAGAAGCTCAACTACAGTGTAGAGATGACATTGAAATAATAAATAAAAATTTATCTAATGCGTTGTGGCTTGTGCCTTTAATCCCAGCCCTTGGGAGGCAGAGGCAGGTGGATCTCTATGAGATTGAGGCCACCCTGATTCCCATCATGACTTCCAGGGGTCTGTGACTAGGGAGACCCTGTAAAAAACAATCAACAGAAAACCAAAATAACAATAATAATAATAATAATAATAATAATAATGATAAATTCATCTAGAGGTATCAATGGATGATGTAGATGGTAAGAGCATGAGCCTTGGAGTCATAGGGATCCCAAGTCCAGATTCTGCTAGTCACATATTGTGAGGCCTTGGAAAAGCAGCTTCAATCTTTCTGAACCTTATTTTATTCCTTTATAATACAAAGTGTGTACCAACACCATCCAATATAAATATCTATAAAAGTTAGCATACTTATAAATGTTATGGTAGTCATGGTCTCAAAAAGGTGAAATTAACATTTGTTTTAATATGTTTAATATCAAACAGGACATTCCAGTTTGAGCTAACTATAGTTCAAGTGCTCCCTAGTCAGCTGGCTGTCACAGTGGATAGCAGAGGATGTATTTACTCTATTGGGTAATTATTATGCTAAAATGAGATAATACATGTGGAAGACTTAGGAAAGGACTTAGACAACACCAAGTCCTAAAATTCATACTTGTGACACCTGCTCATTACCTACTGGTACTGACATATTTAGTTGGGGGATTTCACAAATATTTGCATGGCCCTTGTCACTGAGTAATTACATACTGAGGAATGTAATAGAGACAAATAGAGGTCTGACCATAGCCTTTGGGATCTTACTACCATATGAGCAGAAACATGGTAATTTTTAAATATAACATGCTTAAACACCTGTTCCATAAACAAGGTAACTTATTTGTGTATATTCAGGAAATTGGGATACTCAATTATTTTATTAAGTAAGAAAACAATATTGTTTGGTGGCACATCTGTATAATTTCTATTTTTATATAAATAATAGTATATTTCAAAAGAAAGAGATTATGATTGCCCCTTCATTCATATGTGTCTAAAAACTTTAAACTTATTAGATCTATAAATATTCTAGAATACTTGGTTATTGAGGAAATCTATATCTTTCAGTTAACCCATGAAAATTGAATAGTTTCATTTAATCTGAGTGTAAAATCATGTTGTATGAACTAACATAAATAACAACCCCTTCAATAATAATTGTGTTTCTTAATACAGAAGAAAAAAGAGCTAAACCTACTGGAAGCAAAAATTAATATATGTTCCGTGGTTTGTGTAGGGAAAGACTGTAACAAGGCATAGACATAACGACCAAAAACTCTCCCCAAAACAGCAATTGCTGGGAATGGAGGCGCACACCTTTAATTCCAGCACTTTAATAGAGTCTCGGTGGTTAAGAACACTGGCTGCACTTGCAGAGGACATGAATCAGTTCCCAGCACCCACATGGCAGCTAATGACCATCTATAATCATAGTTCCAGAGGATCTGATGCCCTCTTTAGAAAATGGTGCAGTTTCATCCATGCAGGCAAAACACTCATACACATAAAATAAAAATAAATAAATAAACTAAAATCAAAATTAAAAGAAAATATGTACCAACGATTGAAAACTAATGAAACATTAAGAAACTTTTTTGAATGTAGTTTATGTATTCTTAATTTTATCAATTGCATTTAATTTACATAATATATTTGATGTTGAAGACAGTAAAAACAAGGTGAAGACTTCCGTGCTCCTTTAAAGGACAAAGACATTCTGCCAAATAAAACTATCTCATTCATTAAATTCCATTTAATGTGCTATTAACAACATACCAGAATATGGCCTTATTTCAAAATTTAATCGGGGCTGTACTTTTTAGTTATTTTTTTTTATTCCAGGAACTAATACATGGAGAGCTATTTTGTTTAATTGTTTTGCCTTTTAATCTTTTTCACAGAACTAGGTCCTTAGCATTTTTAAACTATTCCAAAATTAACATTATGCTTGATGATGTTACTTTTGACCACTTAACTAAAGGACATTTTCGGACAGATGGATTTTCAATTGTGTGTCCATGTTGCTCTGAACATGTGTTTACTCAGTTTTAACAGTCTCAGATAAGGATTTTTCCTTCCAAGTTATTACCATATGTAGAAAGAGAATGATGATTTATTAATGATTTGTTGCCTATCCCCTGGACTTCCTTTTCTTCCAGTGTTGGGGGTTGAAACAGGGCCTGGTGAGGGATGTGTGCATGTGCGTTGCATGCGTGTGTGTGTGTGCATGCGTGTGTGTGTATGTGTGTGTGTGTGTGTGTGTGATTTTATCTTGTATCATTTTAAGATGGGAATGATGACTATTGTGAGTTCTTTTACCTACCTTACATTTTGGGTTTACCCAAATTATTTCTGATGAACCAGCTCTGTCACATGTTTTTGTTTGTTTTTTAAAATCTATTGGTTTCTAGTTGTGTGGGATTTTGATTTTTTAAAAATAATTTATTGAGAATTTCATACAGGCTTATATATAAGCATAGAAGGTGTTTTGATCAACTGCATGCCCACTTCCTCCCCTCCAACTCCTCCCATATCTCCTGATCACTTTTTTCTGATAACTTCATGTACTCGTTCTTTTTTTAAATGGGGCTTTTGGCTACTCTAACATTCCCCCTTCTGAAGAGGTAACCCTAAAATCTTTTAAGGATTAGATAAAAGCTCCCAAATACTTTTGACATTTTTGGCCTTTGGAACAGAGTATGTTGGTAAGAGGCCCAAGGACATTTTGACATTTAGCCAAGACCCTGGCTACTCTTCTTTGGGATATTTTTACACTAACTGCCTAGCCAATTCTACCTCCTATTCTTATCACACCATCCTCTGAAGAGGTTACCAAAATTGCCAATAAAGAATTGGGACGCAGACCACTCTGCCTTCTTCCATGCTGAACAGGGACGCAGGGGGACACAATTGGGGTACCCCTTCAGTAGGTCTATTTAAAAGACTCCCAAATTGTACAGCTTTTATTTGTAGGGAGAAAAGAAAGTCATTGACTGGTGAATATGGGATGTGAAGGAGAAGTAAAGGCAAGAGTAGTTAGCATTACAAGTTCTAGACAGGGAACCAGAAAAATGTCAGAACAGGGCAAATTCCAAATGTTCATATCAGAGTCCATTGGAATTTCTTGACTAGAGCTTCCAAAAGCATCCCTCTATTGGGTTCGTCCTCATTTTTCTTTCGTCTGCTAAGACTGGACTGGAGAGTGATGGATTCAGGATTTGCTTTCAGGCATTTTAATAGCTGTTGGAGTGGATAGAATCAGTATCAGTTCCCTCTCAAAGGCTTCTAGATAGGGGGAGAAAACAAAGTTGGCCATCATTTTAGAACAACGGCTGGTTGTCTCCCTAAGCAACAGGTGGGCACTAAAGTATTGCAGACCAAGATTTGAAGTCTTACATCTGAGAAGCACTTTCTGATTTAGAACAAAATCATCAATGAGAGATAATTATCTAAACAACTTTTGATATGGACTTAAGCCTAATGTCTGGGAAGTGTAATCCCTTGAACTCTTAAAGAAATACACTAATCACTTTACCCTTTGGTTCTACTTTCCTTTTGGGTGTTTGAGACCATACAGTTGGCCCAAATAAATCAATTTATATTTACTCTTAAATTCGTTTGACGACCTGTTCCTCATGGGTCACATGGGCTTGGGAGGAGGCCTTGGTTCCTTTCTTTTACCAGTTCCATCTATGTGAAGATAATTCAAAGGTCCTGTTCGAGCATGTCTGGCTTCACGTGGAAGCATGGAAGAAATGTTTCCTCTGAATTGGCCTTCCTCTTTGTAGGCTGGACAGTGGTTCAAGTCCACCTGGTGGGATCTCTATGGCCTCCCTGAACAAGAGGATAAGTGACTCACCACAGTTACATTTTGAGAGATGTTCCATAGTCCCTTGGAACTTAGTCGACCTTGGTGGGCAAGGGGCAAAAAGTGTCCTATTGGTCCCTCTGACCATATTAGTATAGGCCTCAAAGTATGGCTGTTAACCATCCAGTAAGCTTAGTTCCACCAGTCTGGTACTTTTAATTATCATTTGCTATGTAGATAAGTCTTGGGTAAAAAACCCCACATATTCTCAAATAAACCTTCACTAGATATATATTTTGTTCCTTAAATTAGTTGGCTAATCTATGACCTTAGAAATTTTAAGATTGTGTATATTATTTTTGTCTCATCCTTTATATATCATAACAAACTTACATAGACCCTCATCACTTGCTTAGGCTCTTTCATTTTTTTCTATTTTGGAAAATATGTCCATTCCCATATCCTTTTAACATCTTTTTCTTTCTTATTTTCTTTTTTTAATAATTATAAGATATAATAACATTAACAAATAAATTTTTCATCTGTTGTGAGAATTCTTTTCCTTAGGATACTAAGCAATGCTTATTCCCTTTTAAGTTCCTAGTGTCAAACTACTGTTTGATTAAAGCTCTACTGGGGAACCAATAAATTTATTGAGCTTACTTACTGAGATAACTGTGGAGTTGCTGAGGTGTTTGAATGACCTGAGGGTATGCACACTGGAAAGCCTTTACCCAGCATGGGTCAATCCTTTTCTTCCTAGCCTTTCCCAGATTGTATGCTTTAGCATTTCCCAAATGTAGAAGACCATGTGTGATTAGGGCCAAATTACATACAGTTGGCTGGGAAGAGTGGCTGGATACTCTGGTGAGGGTCCAATGACCCTGTTTGCCCCTCCTTTAATGAAGGAGCATAACAAGCCCAATTGTGAAAATGTTTAGCAATCAGGCACTGCTGAAGTTGTGATAATGGTAGTTATTTCATGCAGAATAGACTGCTGTATAGTATCATCTTATTAAAAGGACCTGGAATTTAAAAGGATTTGGTGCTAGGATCCACAAATGAGGGAGAACATACATCTTTTATTTTTCTGAGTCTATGTTACTTCACGTAGTACAACAGTTTCTAGATCCATCCATTTACCTGCAAATTGGATTATTTCATCTTTCTTTACGGCTGAATAGAACTCTATTGTGTAAATTTACCACATTTTTGTTAACCACTCATCAGTTGAGGGGCACTTAGGTTGCTCCATCTCTTAGCTATTGTGAAAAGAGCAGCAACAAACATGGTTGTACAAGTGTCTCCATAATAGGATGGGTCCATTGGGTATATGCCAAAGAGGGGTATAATCTGTCCTATGGTAGGTTTATTTTTAGTTTTTTAAGAGTTCCCCACACTGTTTTCCATAGGGGTTGCACAAGTTTACAAAACTTCTTGTGTGGGAAATAATGCAATAGATTTTTTTCATTCCTTGTGGTGTTTGGTGTCCCTGTTGTCCTTGCATCATAAAATAAGTTGCAAATATACTTTTTCTAATTCTCTGAATTTTTTTTCTTTCTTAAATGTTTATTAGAAGTGACCAGTGGACTATCTTGTCTTGGGGGAACTGGGAGAGGGCTGTTAACTCTTCATGTTTGAATGTGTTCTTGTTCTTATGAAGGTTTGGATAGCTCATCTAAATTTTCCAATTTCTTTACATTTGTCTGTGACACTGACTTATAATGTAAGTATGATCTATGAATTTTGTAGAGTCTGAGGTGATATTCTCTCTTCATTTGTGGTGCTGGTTACTTATGCTTTCCATGTTGCTTCCCTTGACCTAGAAATTTATCAGTTTTCACAAAATTCGTGAAGCATTCTCTTTTATGTTTGTTCATTTGCTCTATTGTATGATTTTTAATTACATTAGTATCTGTTCATATTTTTGCTATTGTCTCTGTTTTAAATCCTTTGGGCTTATTAACTGTTTTCTAGCATTTTGAGGTAGATGGTAGGTTGCTGATATTTTCAATTTCTTTTTATTACTAATTTGTAGTTTGGGTTATAATTTTCTATACCTTTAATGCTAAATTTGGACGTGATATTTTTCCATTAGATATGCTTGAGAATATTTCCTTCTTATGCCCACCTTACTCACAAGGATATAACATGGTTTGATAATATTTGAGAATATTTCTATTATTTTTATTTGTAGTCATATATTTTATACGAAACAGTTTTATTACTAATTTGTAGTTTGGGTTATAATTTTCTATACCTTTAATGCTAAATTTGGACGTGATATTTTTCCATTAGATATGCTTGAGAATATTTCCTTCTTATGCCCACCTTACTCACAAGGATATAACATGGTTTGATAATATTTGATAATATTTCTATTATTTTTATTTGTAGTTATATATTTTATACGAAACATTCTAGACATAATGTAAGCCCCTAAATGATGTCTTTTTTCTTGATTCTGATCTCTAGGAGTTGACATTCCAGTTACAGCCTCATCACTTCATTCCTGATTCATTTGTTTGTTTATTTATGATCTTCTTCCTTTCTTGTTTTCTTTAAATCAGAGTTGTAAGTTACTAGACTACATTTGTATTATTTTGTTTATTGATTGTTTCATATACAGACATAATGTATTTAGTCATTCTCATTCCCCATTGTCCTCTCTTCTTTGTCTCTGCTGAAGCAAATCTTCCTCCTTCTCCTTCTCTTCATTCTCATCCTCGTCCTCCTCCTCTTTCTGAATGTTTCTCACATCTTCTACTTTGGGGTGTATGTCTCTGTGTGTGTGGTGTGTGTGTGTGTGTGTGCGTGTGTGTGTGTAACCTACTAAATTTAACTAGGGCTGCTTTTATGAGCACGAATGGTGTGTTACTTACTAGGAGGATAAGTTACAGGTGATACACACTAAAGAAAATGACATCCTCTCTCCCAGCAACCATTAACTGCCCATATTCCTTTGACAAGGGGGTGATGCTTCATAAGCTCCTCCTCCACCTAATAGGAAACGTTGTTGGGCTGAATCTTGTGCAGGTTTTCTGCAAGCTACCACAGTTTTAAGGTATTCATGAATGCAGGGCCATGTCATACCCAGAAGAGACTGTTTCATAACACTGCTACCTATCCTTGGGTTATTCCTCTTTTTTCTGCCTCTCCTTCTGCAATGATCCCTAAGCTTTGAACAAGGTAATATATACATGGCCTCTTTAGCGCCGAGCATTAAACATTTACTTGTTCTCAGTGCTTTGGCCAGTTGTGAGTCTCTACATTGAGTACTACTGTTTGCAAAGAGAATTTCTCTGACCATGTATTAGAACAGCACAAATTTTCTGGTAGAAATATGAAGATTTAGAGGGCCATTTGACACCTTATCCATTTACCTCAACAACAGAAGTAGATTACCCTGAAGAGTTTATGAACCCCCAAGCTACATGTTCTTTCCTAAGGATCAAATCCAACCAGAAAGCAGTAGTTAGCCCCATAATAATCATTTCTAACCACTACCACTTGAAAATTATGTAACCCTACACTGTTCTTTCCAAAAATATCAGGGGCTTTAATGGATACCTACCATTTAGAAAACTTAAAGTTCTACTATTTTTTTCTCCAATTTCAGGAACTGCTTAAATTCTCAGGCATTCATTTGTGTTTGACACATGCTTCAGATGAGGACAGAAGATGCAGGTTCATTTCTCTTTACTTCTCTACATTTCCAGGCTCCTAGGTTCTTATTCTCTTGGCATTTACTAGAACCAATTATCTTATTATTTGACTTTTTAAAAACAAATTATTATAAGTACTGTGTATAGGTCTCTTGTTCTCTCTGGCTTGAACAACATATTCTAAAGTATCTGTGAACAAGAACACATGTATTTTGTTTAATTTTGTGTCATATATTTAAGTCATATAAAGTCAGAATATATTGTTATTTCATTTAAATTCTACTTTTGCTGTTTGCCAGATGTTTGAAAACTCAATTTATCTCTCTGTCTTAGAAAATGGAAGAGAAGACTTGAGTGGACTAGAGAAGAGAAGAGTTTCTAGATAAACAACAGAAGCTAGAGTCAGGAGAATGAACTGAACCATTAAGGAAGGCAGAGGGAAAGGAGCTAGGGAGCAGGAGGGAACCAAGAAGAGGAGGAGGGAGACATGGGGAGGGGAGAGAAGATGAGGCAAAGGGGGGAGAAGGGCAGTAATGCTGACTTCTTGTCATGGGATTTAGATTGCAAAGAAATGTCACTTTTGCCTCAAAATTTTTGCCCTGGAGTATTTATACTTTTATTGTGAAAGAATGAAACTGCAGTGTGAAGTCTGGTCCTGATCTTTACACTGAAAACACTAATCTTAAAGCAGATGGCACTGAAGTTGGGAATGAAACCTCACGCTAACCAAATATTAAACGACACTGATATTTAAATCAATATGGCAGCACACTGATTCATCAAAAGTATCTTAAATGTGCAAGTATCACGTATGGATTATTTGTGCATAAACAGTTTCACTAGGAAACAAAATTCTGGTAAAAATACACAATACACAAAACTTGGGTATGTTGAGTACTTTCCCATTAGACAAGCAGGAGCCACCCCTCCTCACCCTATGAATGGCCTTATCAGAATAGATACTGAGCCAGGACACTATCAGGCAGATACTGGTAACAGAATAGGCTCTGTAATTTCACAATTTGCTAGTGGAAACTTAAGTAAGACACAAGTATTTCTAGTGTGCCATCTCTGCCTTCTAAGGAGGTATGATACTAGACAAATTCTGTAAATTTTCTGGGCCCCTGATCTTTATCTGCAAACAGAACAGAAGCCTGTTTCTTAGAATGCTCATAGTGTTAAATTATATTATTTATTTAAAGTATTTATTGTGGCCCTTAAAGAAAAAATATGCTTTAAAAGTAATAGCATTTCAGTCTTCTTCAAGTCAGTAGTCTATCTCGCCAAGAATTTTTGACCAATCCATATTAGTTTGGTGTTGCTGTTACTGAGACCCTATTGATAACATTCATCTTTTTACTGTTGCAGATGTTTCTCATTTGGAATTGGAAAAGGTGCCTCCAGTAGTTTAATAAAAGGCATTGCCCAGGTATCTGGGGGCTCTTCAGAGTTTATCTCAGGCAAGGACAGGATTCAGACCAAGATGAGGACCAGGCTGTGCCCAGAGGTGGATAGTCTGGGATAAGAATGAGACATGTTGGGAATATAGCTTTAAAGTCAGTTGCCCGACTTTCCTAGAAGACACATCTTCTTCTGGTCCATACATTCTTGTCCCGCATACTTATGTTTCTACTTTTAAGTAGTTCCTCTCTAACATATAAATCCTGGGATCTGATTGTAGAAGCTGGAAATCCATAGATATGATGATGAAAGAGACAGATAACATTTTGGCTGCTATGTCTGGGACTTGTCTATACTCACAGACCTGATCTTCCATGCCAAGGAAAGAAAGAAGAGGATGAAAAATAATCTAATTAACATATTGGAAGGCTTGATAAGTGGATATTTCATTTTATTACTATGCAAAAATAGAAAACATCTCTGATTGTTCTAATCTCTTTCTAGTTGTTACCATTCCCTTTCTAATTCACTCCTTCATGGTTCTCTTTTATGAAACAGCCTCATCATTCACAGTTATTTCAAATCTCTGAATTTTAATTTCTATATGTAGAAATTAAGATAAACATTGGTATTATGCCATTCAGCATTAATCAATAACAGGCATTATGTCCTAGGGCCATGATGCATAATAAACACTGTTAATGGCAGCCGTTGTGATTCTTTACAATGACTGCTCTCTCTCTCTCTCTCTCTCTCTCTCTCTCTCTCTCTCTCTCTCTCTCTCTGCCTTCAGATGCTCAAGTCTCTGAAGTCTGCTCTGCAGTTTCCAGTGGAAGACATTTCTTTCAGTTGGAATTTGCCTCCTGGTCTGGGTGCTAATGTGCTTTCTCTAGGAAGGACTGTCATTTTTAAGGGTCAGAGGTTAATCATCTATATCCAACTGATTGGGAAGTTGCCCGTGAGTCCTCATTCTTATTAGCTCCATCACTCAGTGTAAACCCTGAATCAGAGGTTTCATTAACACTGGTAGGTGGCTTTGAATCGTGGCAACAGATTGCACTTGGTGGTCAGAGCCAGCCTCCCATACTTTCAGGTTTCTACTGGGCTGGGCTACAAGATTCTGTCGTAATTGTGTGGAGCCGAGGAGCTGTGCCAGTTCTCACCGGTTTCCTTGTCATTTGTCTATTTCATCTCTTTTGCTTTTCTCTAATTTGTAGCAAGCAGAGTCCTCAGGAAAGGTGTGTCTGAAGTATACCTTCCGGGGCAAGAGCTTTGAGGAAAACATGACATTTTCTCTTCAACCCAAGCCCCATGACAAGAAAGAAATCAAGTTTACTTCCCCTCCTCTCCTGCCAGTTCTCACCGGTTTCCTTGTCATTTGTCTATTTCATCTCTTTTGCTTTTCTCTAATTTGTAGCAAGCAGAGTCCTCAGGAAAGGTGTGTCTGAAGTATACCTTCCGGGGCAAGAGCTTTGAGGAAAACATGACATTTTCTCTTCAACCCAAGCCCCATGACAAGAAAGAAATCAAGTTTACTTCCCCTCCTCTCCCTTTCCCTCATCTCCTCTCCCCTTCCCATCCCTCCTCTCTCTCTCTCTCTCTC